GAAGGGGCAGAGAAGGCAGGCTCTAGTTTTGGGAGGCTGGTCCTTGGCCTTCAACCGGAAACGTGCAAGGGAGCGAAGATACGAAGACGCTTTTGCAGGCAGTACGAAGACCGTAAGTCTTATTTCTCTCTTTGGAACCCATTCTCGCCGTCAGAGTAATGTTTATTAAACTATATTTCCTAGGGCGGCAACTGGCCCTGGGCCACCGAATGGCCCCTTGGGAAAAGTAGTTCGATTTCGCTTTGAGCTAAGTTCCCTTCGCCCGGGCTGCCAGCGCCTCTCATTCTTGGGAACTCCAAATTTCAGAGGGTTCTGCAAGCACCCGGAAAGCTGAAGTCGCGGTCGCCCCTGTCAGCAGGTGTGCAGCATCCCGGAGAGGCGCGCGATCGAAAGACTACACTTCCCAGCACCCACCGCGCGTCCCAGTGCGCAGGCGTAGCCTCGCCTCGCCACCCCTCCCCCTCCTCCAACTGCTCCCGTCGGTCCGTTCCCGTATTCCCCGCATTAGTTCTAATGTCCCCTCTGTCTCGCCGGCACCTCACACTCACCGCGAACACGCGGCGTCGGGTACAGCCGCTGCGCCTTCTCGAGGAAGCGGAGCGCCCGGTCGGGCTGGTTGCTCTGGATGGCCTTGAGGGCGATGCTAATACAGCGCTCGGCTTCATCCTTGTTAGATTCCATGGCGGAACCAGAGCGCGGAACCAGGGAGGGGGAGGCCGGGCGAGCGAAGGGCTGCGCCAGCCGCCGGCGCGTCGCTGGGCAGGAGGGCGCGGGATGATGACATCAACCCTCCGCCCCGCCTTCTCCGGGATTTGAGCGAGGGCGGAAGCGCTGCAGTACCTCTTCTGAGAGGGCGACGTCCGGGAGAGGTGTTGAGGCTGCGTGCCCACGTTTCTGGAGGCCGAAGGGTTGTAGGCAGAGGTCTTAAAGTTGGGTGGGCTGCAAGTTCTTGGCAGTAACTGCGTTTCGGGCGAAGGTCTTTTACTCATTCAACAGGTATTTATGGAGAGCCCGCTGTGCGCCGTGGCGGGTATACAGCCGGGCACCAAACAAAGGCCCCGCCCTCACGGAGCTTCCGTTCCCGTGTGTGTAGGAGGATGGGGAGACATCCAAGGAATGGATATATTCGGATAGTGGTAAATGTATGAAGAAAAAGTAAAGGGATAGAGAGTAGAAGGTACTATTTAAAATGGCCCGATGGAATCTCTCAGAACAGTTGTTTTAATAGAAACCTGAATTCTGGAGGAAGGGTGGTCCAGGCAGAAGGAAGAACAAATACAAAAGGCTCTGAGCCAGGAACTTTACTTGCCAAGTTATTACAGGATCAGCAAGGAGAACTCACTAAAGGGGGCATGTAGGATTTCACTATAGAGTGGAATTCAGTTCAGCTATCGGGCTTTCATGCCTACCATCCCAGTGAAGGCAAGTCACCAATGACCCACATTGCCTAATCCCTTGGTTATTTCTCAGTCCTTTATTGTTTGGCCTCTCAAGCAGGCTTTGGTAAGAGAGGCCACTAGAGGTGAGAAGAGGCTGCTGCTATAATCCAGGTGAGAATTAGTGGTAACTTGGACAGAGCGAGGGTGGAGGTGGTAAGAAGTAGCCAAATTCTGGATATATTTTGTAGACACAATCAAAATGATTTTGCTAATGGATTGGATGTGGGATATGAGGGAAAGAAAGGAGTCAGGATGGTTCCAAGATTTTTGGTAAATGGAAGAACAGAGTTTCCATTTGCCAAGATTGAGGGAAGACAGAGCAGCACCTTGGTAGGGAGAATACGAAATGCTTGATTTAGTTTGTGATGCCTTTTAGAATCAAGTGAAAATGTAGAGTAGAGAGTTGTACATATGTATGGTTTAGGGAAGAAGATGGGGCTGGAAATATAATTTTGGAAATTATCATTGTATATAAAATGGTATTTAAAGCTATAGGACTAAATGCACCAAAGAAGTGAGTGTAGATAGAGTGGAAGTCTGGTTACTGAGCCCTGTGACACTCACTGTTTAGAGATCTAGAAGAAGAGGAGAATCCAGGAGAGGAGAATGAAGCAGCAGCTCTGCCAGGTAAGAAAATTAGTTATTTCAGAAGCCAAGTGAAACAAATGTTTCAAGAGGGAGGGAGGGGTCAAACTTTGGCAAACCATGCAAAGAGGCCAAGCATTATGAGGACTGAGAAATGACCAGTGGATTTGACAAGGTGGAGGTCAGTGGTGACCTTGATAAGATTTCTCTCAATGGATGGTAGAGGTGAATATCCAGCAGGAGTGGCCCTGGCCAGTGTGATTCAGTTGGTTGGGCGTCAACCCATACACTAAGAGGTTGCCGGTTCGACTCCCTGTCAGGGCACATACCATGGTTTCAGGCTCAGTCCCCAGTAGGGGGCCTTGCAGGAGGCAGTCTGTCGATGTTACGCTTTCACATCGATGTTTCTCCCCCCTCCCTTTCTTTCTAAAAATCAATAAAAATCAATATACTATATTAAAAAAAACCCATGGGAATGGATTCAAGAGAGTGAGGGGGAAATGGATTGGTAGTAGAGAGGAATGTAGGGAAGTTTGTTTTCTTTTTTTAAGATGGGATATATTATAGCACTCTGTGATAGGAATTATTTGAATGGGAATGCAGTAAAGAAAGCAGACAATTATAGGAGTAGACAGAGATGGGATCTGGGGCACAAGTGAGGGGGTGGTCTTAGTTAGCTGTGTGGACAACTCATTGATTTTTAGGAGGGAAGAGGTTGGCTAGGTACATGCAGGCCAGCTGGTAAGTTTGCAAGTAGGAACACGAGGAAATTCTTTTCGGGTAGTTTTTATTTTCTCAGTGTACTAAGAAGCAAGGCCATGGCCTCCTTGGCTACACATGCTACTCCTTGGAAATTTCTTTACATCCATCCTTCCTTTCCATTCCCACTGTTCCTTTCCCAATGCAAACTCTTACGACTCCACGCAGGCCTGACACAGTATCCTGGTGAAGAAATCAGCCCCTCCTTACCGAGAGAGCCTTACACTTAGAGAAAGTTAAACTCTTTAAAAATTGATAGGTCCTTAATGAATAAACACTGGGACTCGTTTCAAGATAGCCTCTCTGAGGTTTGTTGACTTAGGACTGCAACTCTTTTGTGCTGTTGATGTAAGAGACGTCCAAAACTGTAGAGGATTTTTATGAGAGTTTATTTGAGCCAAACTGATAACATTGCCGGGAAGCAGGATCTTAGATGTTCCGGAGGACAGTTTTGCAGTTTCTTTTATGCATTTGGAATTAAGGAGGGAACATAAGGAAGATTATATGAAGGTGGAGAAAGCAAGGCAAGGATTGGATTGCTGGATAGTTAACAAGACTATGTGCTCTTAAGGGTGGTTAGCTTCCTAGAGGTCTGAAAAAGGCGTATTAAAGGTATGTAAACCTAGGTGCACAAAAACAATGGACAGGGCTTGCTTAGAGCAAAGATAACCTTTTACTATTGAAGTTTGGGGCCTGAGGCCACCCACCATGACCTGCCTAGTTAGGAGTTTATAGATTTATTATAGTGCCCCTTTTTTGTCCATACTGCTAAGTATCGTGAGGTCTCTTCCATTTTCTGAGTATTATGAGGCCCCTCTTCTCTGGCTGACTAGAGGTTCTTTACTTTGTGAAGAAGGCACTCGTGTAAAGGAGGCCTGTAATTTCATTGTGTTAAGGAATTGGACTGTGATTGCCCTGCTACGGGCTGGTAAGCCCTCCTTTCTTTTCCCTCAATGCATACAAATGACAAAATCTTATTTAAATTTTGAGTCGGTGATTAGTAACTTGACTTGGCTGGCAGGGTCTGGAGCACTAAAGGATCTGGAGAGGCAGACTGAGTGTGTGTGGTAGCCTGTTTATGCCTGTTTTCGCCTTCCCTCCTCTCTGCTACTGAGCTGAGTCTCTCAACTATTTCTAAACAACTCTTTGTTGTTTTAGGAGGGATTATAATGCTGGTCCGACCAACCTCCATGTTATTACTCCCTACTTTTCTTTTCTTTCTTTCTCTCTTTTTTTTAATGCTTACTGGAGGCTATGTTTATTGATTTTAGAGAGAGAGGAAGAGAGAGAGACACATACACATATCGATGTGAGAAACATTGATTGGTTGCTCCCTGACCGGGATTGAACCCGCAACCTTTTGGTGTACGTCCACCAACTGAGCCACACTCCCAGGGCCTACCTTTCTTATAGATCTTAGTCAAACTGGGTATATTGTTTTTGTCCTGAAGCAATCTTATTTTCTGTGGGTCCCTCTCAGTCCAAAGGCCAGGAAGAGAGCCACACTCCTGCTCAGTTTATGTTAAACATTATGGTCCTTGGTCTATAAATTTTGCTTAATAATGGGACAGGTATGTCAGGGATAATCTGAAATTACAGTTTCTCCTTGATAGTTCTTGAAGTTGAGATGTCATGATTTTTATTTCATTTTTTAAAATTGATTTTAGAGAGAGGAAGGGAGAGAGAGAGAAACATTGATGTCATCTGATGACATCGATCAGTTGCCTCCTGCACATGCTGGGACTGGGGATGGAACCCACAACCTGAGGATGTGCCCTGACTGCGACGACACTCCAACCAACTGAGCCATACGGGCCAGGACGAGATGTCATGATTTTGATCTAAGGAAAATATTGGAAACTTCTCATTTGACTGGCTGGGGTCATGTTATTTGTGGGAGGGTGAGGCTCAAAAAGAGACAAAATTCTTAATTCCAGCCACAGGTGCCCAGGAGAAGTCACTGGGAAAATGAATCCTCCAGTGAAACTCAGTATCTCCTCATTTTGCTCCCAGAGGTGAAACCACTCTTGTATTAGGTGACCATTGGCTTCCACATTTCTCTCTTCTGGAGACACCAGGAATTCACAGTCTGACCTTAACATGCTTGAATCTGCTATTGTCCCTTCCCATCTCTACTAAGACACTTCACCCACCCCTGTCTGCCTGCCTGCCTGCCTGCCCTCCTTCATGGTCTTTTCCATGTGTCCAAGTCTAACTTGTTCCTCTGGGCTCAGTTTACGTTTCTTCTTCCCTATGAAGAGGTAGAATCCATTCGATACTCTGTCCTGAAAGCCAGGCCCTGTGCAGAGCTTTAGGGATTCAGAGATACCACCACAAAGGACAGAACCTGACATCAGGGAGCTCACAGTCTGGTAAGGGAGATAGACAGTGAGAGAATTGGAGGACAGTGTGGTAAGTACCACAGTGGGATTGTGTGTAACCAGAGGAGGCTCAGAAGAGGGAGCTGCTAGTTGGGCCTGTAGGGTTAGAAAAGCTCTGGGGGGGTTGACACCTGAGCCAAGGTCTGAGCCTGAGAAAGGGTCTCCTCCTCCGTGAACTCTCCCTGCTTTGATTTCCCCATAGCACTTAAGCCTGGCTCCTCCATGGACACCCGCCTTCACTGCCCTACACAGTGGGCACACCTGTCTCCAGCTAAACCAAAATGGAGATCTTGCCTTCATGGTCCCTGTGGCCTGAGCACAGGCCCTGGTACCTAATATGGGCTCAATACATATTTGTTGAATAAATGAATCCCAGAGACGGGTTTTCCTCCCCAAACAGTATCTGGAGTTTTCCTGAGCTAGCCTGAGGGATATGTTCCTTTCTAAGGCTTCAGATAGAATGGCCAAGTCAGTGGAGTATCCCCCACTTGTCCTTTGCTCTTTTGCTCCCCAGTGTCCCTTGGTGCCTCCAAATGTGACCCACCAAGGTCTTCCTTTCAGAGAGCTCCAGGCTTCAGAATCTCTCCCTGAAGAAACTCCCCTTACTGGTTAAACTGGTGAACAGTGGACTATGCGCAGCTGTGGGAGCTGTGTGCCTTTTCATGTGAGCTTGATTTTGGAACCATGTGAATGTTTACCTGTAAAAAAAAAAAAGAAAACCTAAATCTCGCACTAGCCGGTTGCTCAGTGGTTAGAGTGTCGCCCCATGGATGGAAGGGTCCTGGGTTCGATTCCAGCCAAGGGCATGTACCTGTGTTGCAGGCTTGATCCCTGGCCCTGGTTGGGACATGTGTGGGAGGCAACCAGTCGATGTGTCTCTCTCACATTGATGTCTGCCACCCTCTTTCTCTCACCCTTCCACTCTCTCAAAAGCAATGGATAAAATATCCTTAGGTGAGGCTAAAAAACAAAACAAAAAACTAAACACTGAAGAGTGTAAATGACTGATAAGTAATTCACTTTTCAATTTGAGCTTCAATAAATTATTTTTTGAATGAACACATGAGTATTTCCCCATAGCATCTTTGGATCTTCATTTTAGTCCTTTGCTCTCTTTCTCCCTAGAGAAGGCGCTCTCGACACTGAGGGAGGGCCAGAGGCTGGAAACTGGAGAGATAAGAGCATAGGGTACTTGCAGCCCTTTCTCCCAAACTTGTCTGCCTCATGGATATCCCACCATGTGTAGGTTTTTTTGATTCAAAGTCTGTTCACTTCGATGGTGTCTATTCTCAGCCTCCCATGGGGAAGAGATGGAGCTGGTATTAGTATTTTACAGTTGGGAAACTGACTCAGACTTTATGTGTTCATGGTTAGTTGGTGTTGAAATTGGGAGAACCCAGGTTTCCAGGAAATTCCCAAACCATATCTTCCCTCTAACCCCCTTCCTGGGTCCAGATTCTTATGTCTAACTACCCACTAGATAGTTATACCAGGATGTGTCTCGGGCCTCATCCTCCTCGACCCAAACCTGCATCCTCCAATTTATATGTTCCCATCCCTACCCCTAAGCCTGACCTAAACATCTCCCAAATCTGTTACCAGCTGTCCAACTCTGCAGCCATCTCCTTACTCCAGGCTTCTAGCATCTCTCCCTCTTTTTAAAAATTATCTTTATTGTTGAAAGTATCACAGAAGTCTTCCTCCCCCCCCCTTGACCCCCTCTACCCTGCACCTGTCCCCCAGCCATTCACTGTACTTTTGTCTGTGTCCATTGGTTATGCATATATGCATATAAGTTCTTTGGTTAAACTCCCCTTGCCCCCCACCCCAAGCATCTCTTTTGATTTTTGTTTTGTTTTTTGTTTTAAAGAGAGAGAAATATTGATGTGAGACAGAAACATC